AAAGATGGGTGATATCTTTTCTTCAAACAGCTCAAAATTTGCCATTCAAGGCATTTTTTGCCCCCAGAGCTCTTTGTACCAGCATCCCAGACCATCCTCCTAGTTACCCCATGCTGGGACTCACCATCCCCAAACGTCCCCATGGCTCTGCCCTCCTCAGCAACGTTCTCCCACGGGACACACGGATGTTAGCTGCCACCACCATCACCACGTGCCCGCCTCAGCCTGATCCCCCAAACCAGAGCACACCCGCACAACAGCCTGGGGTCTTCTCCAAGCAGACCCACAAAAGAGGTTCCTCAAGAAACAAACCCAAGAGGAGATACTGCCAGTAACACACGAGCTCTGCTGCTCGATGCTCGGCCTCAGTGAGCAGTGGGGGCTCATCGGAGCCCCGCCAAGTATTTTGTGTCATCTTGTTAGAAATTGCAGTTGTATTGAAAGCCCGATTGCGCTCATTTAGCTGTCGCTCAAACCCTTCTGCAGCCGCTTATTAGCGCTGGAGCGGGGAGCAATAAGACTTCGCTGATGCTCACCCATCCTTTCACAAATTACCTCTTACTGATGAATGAAGGCCGTCGAGACGATGGTGTCTGAAAGCCGGGAGGATATTTGAATTTCAGAAGTGCCTGAAGCCATTACCCCTCTTTATTCACCACCCGTGGAGCCACTTCTGGAGTGTTGTATGGGATGCTCGGCTCTGAGGAGCGACACAGGGACCACAGGGATGGTCAGAGGCTGTCGGAGGAGCTGTTAAAAAAGGCTGTGGAGCGGTTTTTTGTTCAAATAGAGGGGGAAAACAGTACTGACCCCAAATATGCTCCACCATACAGTGATTCATCCCTTGTATGTCCCCTCCATGCCCTGAGCAGGTAGTCTGGCTGGAGATAAGATTGATGCCAGTGTGGGAAAATCCCCTTATTAGCATAGGCTGATTTTTATTGGAGAAAAGCTCTTGACTCTAGGCAAATCCAAAAAAATGCTTTGGGGCAGAGAAAGAGCTTTGTATGGGAAAGATTTTAACCCATGTCACAGGAAGTGTGGGCATGTCCACATATATGTACATGGGTTTGCGGGTCCAAACAGCAGAAAGATCGCTGTCGGAGGCTCTCTGCCCCCCGAAGCATCTGGAAGCGATGATGCTGTTACCCCCCCAGATGTTATATTTATGTTCAGCCCCTGGGGCCAGCACTTGAAAGATGGGAAGGATGATGTTCAAACCATCTACTCGCTTCTTGCTCTGAGGCCATGGTAGCCCCTGTCTCCTCCTTCCTGTGGAAAAAAAAATCTTCCCCGGGGAAAAAAATCTGCTCGGCTCAGCCCTGTCTGATGGATGGTGGCAGGGACGGGCTGGCGAGAAACCAGATTGAAACCAGTGACTCATTTCCCACCAGCGGCTATTTTGGGGGAGAGGAGAGGAGAGGCCGTTCCCCCCTCCCTCCCCAACATCCATCAGGTGGTTGGAAAGTCCCTGCAGCCACCTCTGACACCCGCCACGCTGCTGCAGGGTGGACAAATGAGTTTTCTCCCTAATTGGATCTTTTTCTCTTTTTTCTTGCAACCCCACCCTATGATATCCTGTGCTGGATGTGGGATGAGGTGAGGATGCATCTTCATCCCTGCTGGTATCCGGAGCCCCTCTGTGTCCCCCCCGGACGTTGACGGGTGACATTTGACTGCGATGGAGCAACTTTCCTGAGAGGGGAGATAATTAGCAATCGCCTTCCCTAGGAGATTACCATTGCTTATAGACACTGCGATGTCTATAGGTGCTGAGATGGAGCAGATACCAACTCAGAAATATCAGCCAGCACAGATGCCCTGGGGGGGTTGTTGGGGCAGGATTTGGGTTTTGAGGTGCTGATGATCCCATCTGAGAGCGGAGGGTGGCTCTGAGCCCAAAGCACCAGCACGCATCCATCCTTGCACAGCCCCAAACGCTTGCTCTGCCTCCAGCTGGGCTCACACTGGGGAAAAAAAAAGCTTCAAGTTTAATGAAACAGGTTCAGCAATCAATAATAAAAAACCCCCAGCCAAATAACTACAAGGGATTTCTTTGCTCAGCAGCAGCTAAAACTCTTCTCCCGCTCATCAGCCCTGCCCAGCCGACCAGCCTTGCACCCTCTGCTCACCCCATCGTTCCCAGTGTGGGTCCCAGCATCCTCCCAGCAAGGAGCCTGGGCTGGTACTTGTTAAACCACGATGCACCAAAAAATAACCCCCAAACCCCAGCATTTTATGCTTGCAAAAGAAAAACTGCTACATCACTGTTGTCTTTAGCACATAAAACCTCTGAGTCACCGGAGGAATGTGCAGCGCTTTTTAATAGAGTCCAAACTGTCCCAGCGGGCCCCATGTTTAACATTCAGGGATTTGATTTATTTTATATTTTTTTAATTAAGATTTCTCTATTAAATAGTCGCCCCCCCAACACATGGGACAATGAATTTGCAGGAGTGGAGGGGAGCCGCTGCTGGATGCTGGGTGGGTGAAGTACAGACCAACTGCACCACTGGTCTTCCTGATGCTTAATTATTAAAAAAAAAAATATTTTTTAATCCAAATGTATAAATAATTTTTCTCTCTGACAGCAAGAGTAGGTTTATGGGTGAGGCTCGGTAAGGGGTAGGAAGGATGAGTGGTCCTCTCAATGAGGCATGGGGAAAGAGGCAGCTTGGGGCAGATATGCTAGAGGTCTAGGAAAGCCTGCCCAGGCAGAAAAGTTAGAAAGAAAATGACTATTTTCCAGGATAAAATACAGGAACGCAGCGAGCAGATGGGTGGTGAAAGGGGAGAGGAGGAGGGATGAGCTGTGGGCTCCTTGCTGCGGGACATCGCGGCGGCTGAAGGATGCTGCCGTGATAATAAGGAAATAAAAATCCAGCGGAGGCAATTAAAATCCTCCCCTCCAGCCAGACATGCCTGGGAAGGCAACGGGGTGGTACCCGACATCCCACCAGGCTCATCCTCCTCGCAGCATCTTCATTTAGAGTCAGGATTTGGGGCTGATGTGCCCCCGGGGAGTGGCGGTGGGGGTGTGATACTGCATCTCTGGATCTGGCTCCTTGTTTTTAAAGTTGAGGAAAATAGTTCAGAGCAATGCTGTGGGTTTGTTGGTTTTTGGTTTTGTTTTTTTTTTTCATATCCACCAGCGTTGTTAAAACTAATATTGAGGGGGTGTGATGGCCACACAAAGGTTGACTTGGCCGGGGGAAACCATCCCCAGCCTTGCTGATTAATGCTCTGGTCCTCAGGGCCAGCACCCAGCTGCCACCCCTGGGTCCCCGTCGCTGTCCCCCGGGATGACGTGTGGGACCCCTGTGGGTGTTTATTGGGCTGTAATTCCTAGTGGAAATGCAACCAGAGTGGTTGTTCCAAGTGTTTTCTCAGCGGAGGACCACAAGAGCCCTTATTGCTGGGATGAAGACAGTCCCAGCTGCCTCTTGCTGGTCCTTCTTCCCAGCCCCATCAGCGTTAAGGGTTTATTTAGGACACAGGTATCTCCAGCAGCTCAACTCCGCACTCCAAAGGCGTAAAATTGTATTTGAGGTTGGAAACGTGGCCGGGCAGAGTTAAACAGGAGCCGGAACAAAACGCAGGCTGGTCTGATATCCCCCCGCTGAGGTATCTGCCCCTCAGTCACGCGACCAGATCCAGTCACTCTCTATAAATGAAAATATCAGCAAAAGGCTCCGTCGCGTCGTTAAAAACTCTTCTTACGAATTTCTGCAGGTGCGGCGGGGGAAGCCCTCTGCCCCGCCTCACCCAGCCACGACATCGAGGGAAATAAGAAACCGGATCAAAAACGTTTCCACTGCCCCGACGTGCTGCGAATTAAAGAGAGATGAGCTGGAGATCGGCCTTGCTCATGGTGAAACCCCCTCCTCCTCCTCCTCCTCCTGGTGCAAACCCCGGGCCGGGCCTGGGAACAAGGGGGTGACCCCCAGTTCGGGGTGAACCCCCACGATACACCCCGCCGGTGGGGGGGGGGCTGCACCATCTGCCACAAGTTTCCTCCAAATTGTATTTATTTTTTTAAATTTTTTTTTTTTTAATCGTCGGGACCGAATCAGAGGCAGGAGGCGAGGGCGGGGAAGCGGCTGCATTCCTTTGTGTCGCACAGCCGCCTCGCTACCCGCCGCCGGGACAAGGGGACAGGCAGACCGAGGGACGCGGGTTTATTTTTTTGCGGAGGTTTGTCCTTAGCGAGCACCCGTCGTCGCGCCGCAGGGGCTGACGGGACTTGTAGTCTGTCCGCTCCGCCACTAACACGCATGCGCACAGCTTCCCCGCCCGGACCGTTTGAGCCGGTGATGACGAAGCGCTCGCCGATTGGTCCGGCGGAGGCCTCGCCCCTTCCCCCTCCCACACGCCTGGTCCTCGCTGATTTGTGATTGGCTCGGTCGCTCGTCTTTCGTTCTGGTTGGCTGGTTGCGGCCGGTGGGCGGGGCCGCGCGGCTGTGGCGGG